CTTGGCTCGAGTTGTGAGGCTGAGATCTACGCCGGGGCCATGGCTGCACAGGAGCTTCGCTGGCTCACCTACCTGCTGACCGACCTTGGAGAGCCGCCTCGTTCTCCTCCAGTCCTGTACGTAGACAACAAGGCCATGCTGGCCTTGTGTCGAGAGCAGCGACTGGAGCACAGAACAAAGCACATTGCTCTCCGCTACTTCCTTGCTCGTGAGCTACAGCAACGTGGACAGTTGCGGCTTGCGTACGTGGCCTCTGAGGCCAACACTGCTGATGTCTTCACCAAGGCACTTCCGCCTTGTGATCATCAGCGCTTCTGCACTCAGCTGGGTCTTGTGCCCGTCTTGCCTCACTTGCTCTCCTCTTGACCTTGCTTGTACTCTCACATATATATATACCTGCTCTTGCTTGTCTAGCTTTATATATATGTGTGTACTCTTGCATGTGAACTGGCCGTGTGGCCTTGACCCTGTGCTCGGACTGTGTGGTGACTTTGTGATCCACCCTGAGCTTGCTTTGCTTTGCTTTGCTTGACTGGTCTTGTGACCCCTTGTTCTCCCCCACTTTGCCTATGGGGGTGTGTCAGAACATTGTAGCTTATGCTGTTGTGTAGGCTATAGTGGGGTATCCCATAGGGGGTACAACCAATTAGGGTTTCATATTTGTACTCACTTCATTTCATAGTTCATCCATCCTCGTTCTCATTCTCACAGCCAGATGGGCTAGACGCGATCGCGCCATGCTCAGCGTCATGCGCGTTATCTATTTACATATTTCGTTTTCTGATTTACATCTTCCGTTTCTTGTTTCTCTCTAATCTCTTTTCTTCTTCTTTCAGTCCTCCATCTCTTCCTTATTTTCCATTTTCCGGTTTGCATCCTCTTGCATGGTCTTCATGTCCTCGTTTATGTACGACCTTGGTCTTCAAATATTGCACTTGGTTTCAGTTTACGCTTTCTTGTTTATCAACTGTACTCTTTTTAACAGCCATGTCCTTCTTATTTTGTGCTCCTTCTTGCTACCACCCTAGGCTTGTTTTCTCTATTTTGTTTCTACTTTCTATATATCCTTGCCTTACGGTTTGGTCGTGCCTTCTTCTCCCTCCCTCTCGGCAGTTGAGCTTATGATACCCCCGCCTGTCACGCTCCACATACCACTGCAAGGTGAGAACAACTAGAACTAAGTTAAATGATTACGAGCTAAGCTAACCTTTCTTAATCTCGTATCATAGTTGTTTTCTCTAGCGTTGGCCATTGCAAGTTGTTTACGCTTCGGCTCTAGGCTTGATATAAAGACTTGAGCTTTAGGTCGTTCATAAGTCTGCATGCACGCGTTCTTCTGTTCCGCATCGTCCCTTTCTTCTGCTGCATCGTTACTACTTGTATTTGCAAATGTTCTTTGACTTTCGTAGATCCTTTGCTCTTATATTCTTGCTACATAGATTCTGAATGCGTAGTTTATTGAAGTCTCTCTCTCTCTCTCTCTCTCTCTCTCTCTCTCTCTCTCTCTCTCTCTCTCTCTCTCTCTCTCTCTCTCTCTCTCCCTCTCTCTCTCTCTCTCTCTCTGTCTCTCTCTCTCTCTCTCTCTCTCTCTCTCTCTCTCTCTCTCTCTCTCTCTCAAACGGTCCTTTGTATTGATAATAGGGTCTGGTACAGGCATGCAGGTTCTAGGGCAGGATTCAACTGGCACGAGGACAAGCAAACAAGACCCAAGGAGCACCTAACTAAGCAAGCACACACCCCTACCCCCCCCCCCCCCTCCCTCTAAGGTGCCTCTAGTGTTGTGAAGCAGTCACCGGGGTTCATCACCCCCTCTAGTCCCCCTAGTGGGGGGTTCTCTGCTCGTGCTGCCAGGTTCAGCTTTGTGAGAAAACTCACTGCTTGAGCTCTCTGGAGGGCAATAGACCAGCGCTGGCGGAACTGATGGAGCATCTTCGCGGCCTGGTAGGTAGATGGGTCCGCATTGAAGAATTTCCGTGCAGCTTTATCTGCCAGTAGCTTCAGGAAGGTGGGGACCTCGTCACAGGGGCAGCCGTAGGTTTCTACTGCCAAGGGGACAAACCCCGCAAACTCTGCCCTGCCGAGGTAGAGGCCTATCTTCTTATCTGCTGCCTCCCGTGCTGCCCAGCCCCTCCCCTTCCTTGCAGTCTCGTCCCGCTTGCTGATGGGGTCAGTGATTGTGATATCCGCCAGCCATACCGCCCCCGAGCTCCCATCCCTGAAGGCCAAGTCAGCCTTCTTGTTGTCCACCGGGCTGAAGGCAGTGCACTCCTTGTGCACAGCAAATCCTGCATCCTGCGCCATGCGGATGCACTCGTCCCGTAGCTCGTCGTGAGTGTTGGTCCGGCCATGCCCAGTACCACACCGGAGCAAGTGGTTCGGCAGCCTCTTATCCAGAATGGGGACTCGTTTGCTGCAGTCACAGCAGTCAGGCACCGAGAGTGGCAGGCCGAGCCGGAACTGTAGAGCGAACGTGAAGTGGCAGGGGTATAACCGTAGGGCTGGCATGTAAGGGATTGCCATGAGCCAGTCCCCTGCCCCATAGCCTGTGAGGGACATGAGGCGTTGAGTGTGGCCCAGCAGTGGGTTCAGCTCCATTTGTCTGGATGCGGTGATCTGGGCGGCACTCCTGCCCCCTTGGACTAGGAGGGCGAGACGGTGCTGTAGTTGGCCCTTGGGTTTCGCCTGCTCCGCCGTGATTAGGTCCCTCCCCTCCTGTGTGAGGCTGTTTCTGCAGTCCTGGATCCACCTCTGTAGTTCATTGGGGCTGTGGGCGGCTGCTACGGTGCTGTCCAGTGCTGCTGTCAGGTGTGATCCTGCTTGGCCCTCCAGCGGGCCGAGAAGTGAATGAGCCTGTATGAGGCTTGCCAAGAAGCTGTACCGGCCCTCTACCGCTGGGTCTGCGATGCCTAGGCCGCCTAGGCTCGGTGGGAGTGATGCTTGCTCCCAGACCCTCCTTTCCTCCTCCTCGCCCCTCGGGTGACGCACTCCGCAGGCGTCTAGAAGGGTGTACAGCATGGCCTTGCCCCACCGTGACCATTCTACTTCGGGTAACAAGTACAGGGGCGTGGTACGCGCTAAGTAAGATATGCGTCTGGAGATGCACCGTGTTAGTAGCAGCGAAGCTACTTGGGGGTCCATGGTTGCGAGGTGGGGCAGCGGAGATGACATGGATTCTAGCTGTGAGCGGAGAAAAGCTGCAGCACCCTCTGCCGAGCCGATGAAGCTACCCAGCACTCGCAGCCCATCCGTGCTCAGCGGTACACCTTCGGGCAGCAGCTGGGGGTCTGTGGCTGCTGCGCTCCATGCGGCGCATTTCCCTGGGTTGTGGGTCAACCCAACGTCACGTAGTCCCGCCGTGAAGTGGCGGAAAGCTTCCGAACACTCGGCAGCAGCGCCCAAGAATGTGACGTCGTCAGCAAATGCCAGGCAGAGAACGGATGGGTAAGCTGCTGCTGTCTTGCTGAGGGCGGGGTGGATCCCGGCGGCGAAGAGCAGCGGGCCGAGCGGGTCTCCTTGTCGCACGCCCGTCTCGCTGGTCAGTGCCTCGCATCCGAACCCTGCATCCAGGTACAACTGGGCTGGCCTGCCGTACGATATGTTGACTAGGGGAAGGATGCTCTGGAGGGCTGAGTCGCGGAGTGCGCTGACTACCGCTGCGCGGCTAATGGAGTTAAACGCGTTTGCTAGATCTGCCTGTAGTATCAGCGCCTCTGGATTTGCGCTGGTGAAGGCTCTCGCGGCATGAATAATCGCCTCGCTGTCGCCTTGAACTGACACGCAGTATTGTAATGGGAGGAAATGCGCGCGGCATTCGTGGGAGAGGGCCGAGAGGGCGGACTTGGCGGCCAGTCGAAGGATGCACTCGCCTACTGCTATCGGTCTCGTGCCTCCGTCCGGCTTGGCTAGAGCTATGAGGCGGCTGGCTGTTAGTAGCGAGCATATTTCGTCTGGCAGTTTTCCCTGCAGGATAGTGTTGACGAGGGCGTGGAGGTGTGTGGTAACCCCTGCGTTGGCGAGCGATGCGTCTCGCAGGTGTTCAAATGTCATACCAGACGGTCCTCCCCCCACCCCGTTCTCACAGCGGCATAACATTTTTATGAAGTCCCCTTTTTCGATCGAGGCCGCCTGAACAGTATCGGGGATGCTCCAGTCGATGATTCCAGGTGGCGCGGGGGGGTGTTTTGCTTTGAGAGCGGCGAGGATGGTTGCAGAGGGGTCAGCGACCGGCGTTGACTCGAGGGCGAGGATCGCCCTGCGAAGACTTCCTTTTCGCGCGAGGCCCTCTGCCCTCGCGCGTTTGCCAAGGGCGTCTGGTGTGTGACGAGGCGGGTGTGGTCCTGTGATTGCGGTAACTGCCGCATCGTAGAGCTGCTGCCATTCGCCTTTGTTAAATTGGCGAAGTCGGTGCTTGACTGCCGGCCAATCGGGCTTCTCCGTTGACGGGAGGCGAAGGGTGAGACGCGGGAGAAAAAGTAACAGGCTCCAACCTGCGACCGACCCAGGGTTACGCGCGAGGTGGAGCAGTGGTGTCAGGAGGGCTGTGGCGAAAAGAGGGCGAATGTCAGCAGGGAGTTTACGCGAAAGTGGGGGCTGACGACTATCGCGTAAGGGAGTCAGGTCCCACAATTCAACTTCGCCGAACCGCTCCATGTCCTCGGCCAGTTGTTCTGGCGAAAATTGGCGGGTCTCTGAGGCGGTGGTGTCTGGTGCCTGCCGGTGTAATGCCCCATCTGTTACAGCTGGGATTGGAGCGACTTGGGGTGGAGTTGGGATTGCCCGGCGTCTGCCTTCCCGTTCCTCGTCCTCTAACTCCCCCGACTCTTCCGTGGTAGACTCCTCCGCTACCTCAGGTATAAACGTGGGGTCTCCCGTGTCTTCCTCATCTTCGGTTAGTTCCACTCTTCGAGTTAAGGCACGACGTGCCTCTCTCTGGAAGCCGTTCTCTGGTCCGCCTCCCCTTCCTGCCGCACCTCCTCGTCCGCCGCCTCGTCCTCCCCGCGATGCCGGTGTCAATAGGCGACGACTATTCGTATTCGCCACGGCCCTTTGTCGTGGCGTCTGCTGCTGTTGCCCTTCCGACCGTATCGGCCCCGGCACCGGCGGTTGTGGGGATGTCGCCACCTCCCGCACCTCGATCCGCGCCATCCTCCGTGACTCAGGCTGGCCCCGCCCCTGCGCCTGCTGTGGCGCCAGCTCCTGTTGTGGCGTCGTTGGCTGCGCCTGCCGTGACGCATGATCCGGCGCCTGCGTCGGCGTCTGCTCCTGCGCACGCCTCGGCGTCTGTTCTTGTGCCCGCTCCTGCGCCTGCCGCGACGTTTGATCCTGCGCTTCCTCCCGCGCCTGTGTCGGTGGTTCCATTTGTCTCTGTGGGGGTGTCTGTTCCTGCGCCTGTTGTCGCTGCCTTGTCTGCGGCTGTTGGGGCAGCCTTCGTGCCGCCTCGGGCTGCGCCCACCGTGGCGCCTTCTGCTGCTGTGGCGGAACCGTCTTACCAGCCACCTCTAGCCACCAGCGCCGGCCTGAGCCTGGCGGAGGTGCAGTCGACGCACGTGACGCCTCCGATTGCTCCGGCCGGGCAGCCTCGTCGCCCTCAGTCACCTGGCCGCCGCCCGTCCCGTCCTCGTTCACCCCTCCTGCATGATGAGCGGGAATCATCGCGGCGCCGACAGGATTCTCCTCGGGGCCGCCGATCCCAGGGGAACTGGACCGCGCGTCGTGGCGGTCGTGGGAGCTGGTGGGGGGGTCGCGGCTATGGTCGTGGTGCTCCCCCAGAGGAGCCCCAGATGACCCCGGTGGAAATCCGCTAGCTGGTAACGGCGGCGGTGCGTGACGCTCAAGCTGACGTGGCGAGCCCGAATCACCCGCAGCATGCGGCGCCACGTCCTGGCGTTCCTTCTCCAGCTGCCCGCCCTGCTGCTGTTCCTCATTCCGCCTCTCCTCCTCGCGCCTCTCATCATCCTCCGGCGCATTTTCCTCCTCCTGCTGCTGTTGTTGAACTTCTCTCGTTCCCGGCGGGAGCGCCTCTTCCCCCACAGTCTCGTGTTCCCGAAGCCACTCTGGGGCAGTTGTGGCGTCTCTCGGAGAGCCTTCGGGCGCTCCTTCTGGTGCAGGTGACTGCGCACGCGTCTCTTCCGCCCGTCCCCGCGGATTCTCTTCTGGACGGCCCGCGGGACGACTGCTTGGACGCGGCGGACCAGCTCGCCCTCCTCTTGGCGCCCGTGTTGGCTGCGCCCGCGCGGGGAGGCGTTGCTGCTGTGGGACAGCTTGATGCGGCTGTCCGAGGCCTGCGGCGGTCCTTGCGTGCTGGCTCAGGAGCCGAGGCGATCGCCGCAAGTACCTTGGTGGTCCGGGAGGTGTGGCGGACTATGTCGGGCCTTCTTGCCGCTCTTGAGGCGGATCGGATGTGGTTGCCGTCGCCATGTTATCCTTGCCGTTGCTTAGGATTGTGTCTCTCCTGCTTGTGTGTAATTGTTGTCACGTAGTGCACGTTGCCCTAGTAGCTTGCCACCCCTCACGCGCGGCCGAAGGCCGCGCTGTCGAGCGTTGGCCGCCGAAGGCGGCCGACGCGAGCGAAAAATTCAGCCACACCACTGAATAATGAGAGACAAGAGGCCAAGAGGGGCCTCTTATACTAAGGAACAGAGAGGGCAGAGGGCTAAGGGAGAGGGCAGAGGCAAGGTGCCTCTCTCTCTCTCTCTCTCTCTCTCTCTCTCTCTCTCTCTCTCTCTCTCTCTCTCTCTCTCTCTCTCTCTCTCTCGCTCTCTCGAACGAACGAGCGAAAAATTCAGCCACACCACTGAATAATGAGAGACAAGAGGCCAAGAGGGGCCTCTTATACTAAGGAACAGAGAGGGCAGAGGGCTAAGGGAGAGGGCAGAGGCAAGGTGCCTCTCTCTCTCTCTCTCTCTCGCTCTCTCGGACGGACGGGCGAAAAATTCAGCCACACCACTGAATAATGAGAGACAAGAGGCCAAGAGGGGCCTCTTATACTAAGGAACAGAGAGGGCAGAGGGCTAAGGGAGAGGGCAGAGGCAAGGTGCCTCTCTCTCTCTCTCTCTCTCTCTCTCCCTCTCTCTCTCTCTCTCTCTCTCTCTCTCTCTCTCTCTCGAACGGTCCTTTGTATTGATATAGAAAAGAGGAAACAGCAAAGGCAAGCAAGCAAGCAAACAAACAGGTATGTCTAACTATTCTCCTTCCTACCCCTTTCCCCTCCCCCCCCCCCCCCCCAAGTCTTCTACTCGCTACCATTGCCCGGTTCTAGGGTAGCAAAGCACTCCCCCGGGTCTAGGACCCCCTCAGGGCCTCCTAAGGCTGGGTTCTCCTTCTGGGCCGCCAGGTTCATCTTGATAAGGAAACTTACTGCCTGTGCCCTTTGCAAGGCGACAGACCACCGCTGGCGGAACTGGTGCAGCAGATTTGCGGCCTGGAAGCTTGAGGGGTCCGCGTTGAAGTGTAAGCGTGCTGCTCTGTCCGCCAGGTGCTTCAGGAACGCCTGCACCTCATCGCACGGGCAGCCATAGGTCTCGACCGCCAGCGGGTAAAAGCCTGCAAATTCAGCCCTGCCGTGGTATAGCCCGATTTTCTTATCTGCTGCCTCCCTTGCTGCCCATCCCCGTCCCTTCCTGGCAGTCTCGTCCCGTTTGCTGATAGGGTCAGTGATGGTTATGTCACCCAGCCACACCGCCCCACTGCTTCTGTCCCGAATGGCCAGGTCGGCCTTCTTGTTGTCGACCGGGCTAAACGCAGTGCTCTCCTTGTGCACTATCAACCCCGCGTCCTGGGCCATACGCACACACTCGTCCCTCAGCTCATTGTGTGTGTTGGTCCGTCCGTGCCCTGTGCCGCAGCGGAGGAGGTGGTTGGGGAGGCGCTTGTCTGCTATGGCGACTCTCTTGGTGCAGTCGCAGTTGTCAGGGACGGGGAGAGGCAGTCCTAGGCGGAACTGGAGGGCGAATGAGAAGTGGTCCGGATCGAGGCGGAGGGAGGGCATGTAGGGGATGGCTATCAGCCAGTCCCCCGCACCGTAGCCTGTGAGGGACAATAGCCGCTGGGTGTGGCCGCATAGTGGGTTCAGCTCCATATGCCGTGACGCTGCAACTTGAGCGGCGCTACGTCCACCCTGGACTAAGAGGGCAAGGCGGTGCTGCAGTTGTCCCTTGGGTGCAGCCATTTCTGCCGCCAGCAGGTCACGTCCTTCTTGTGTGAGGCTTGCCTTGCACTCCCCAAGCCAGGTTTGCAGTTGGTTGGGGTCCGGGTCCACCTCCTCTGTCCAGTTAAGGGCGGTGGAGAGGTGAGCTCCAGCGGGGCCGGGCAGGGAGGCTAGCAGTCCGTGCGCCTGGACAAAGCTCGCCAGGTAGCTGTAGCGCCCTTCCACCGATGGATCCGCCAGCCCCAGACCTCCCAGGCTCGGGGGGAGGGAAGCCTGGTCCCACACGCGTTGTTCCTCCGCATCCCCCCTTGGGTGGCGCACGCCGCAGGCGTCGAGTAGTGTGTGGAGCAGCTTCTGGCCCCACCGTGACCACTCCTCTTCGGGCAGAAGGGTGAGTGGGGTTGTGCGCGCGAGGTATGACATCCGCCTCGAGATGCACCTCGTCAGCAGTAGTGATGCTGCCTGTGGTTCCAGGTCGGCTATCTGCGGGAGTGGGGTTGTCATTGCTTGCAGCTGAGCCCGAATAAATGCCACTGCTCCGTCTGGCGCGCCGATGAAACTGCCCAGAACGCGCAGACCGTCGTGGCAGAATGGGATTCCTTCCGGCAAGGCCCCCTCCGGTGGTCGAACGGCGCTCCACGCCGCACATTTCCCGGCGTTGTGCCTGAGCCCCATGCTACGGATGCTGCCCGTGAAGTGGGTGAACGCCGCCGTGCACTCCGCCACATTGCCCAGGAACGTGACATCGTCGGCGAATGTGAGGCAGAGCACGGTCGGGAAGGCGGCTGCAGTCGCGGCGAGGGACGGGTGAATGCCTGCGGCGAAAAGCAAAGGCCCGAGGGGGTCGCCCTGGCGGACCCCTGTAATGCTGGATATGGGAGGGCTATTGAAACCGGCGTCGAGAAATAACTCTGACGGCGCGCCATAGGAGGAGTGGACGAGGGGGAGGATCCCTTCTAACGTACTTCCACGTAAGCCCGCTACGATTGCGTCGCGACTAATGCTATTAAATGCGTTTGAAAGATCCGCCTGGAGAATCGTGGCGTCACTGTGCGTGCTCATGTATGATCTGGCGGCGTGGATTATCGCCTCGCTACCTCCCTGGACGGCAACGCAGTACTGGAGTGGGAGGAAATGTGCTCGTGCCGCTTCTGCCAGTGAGGAAAGTGCCGATTTGGCCGCGAGGCGTAGGACACATTCTCCTACAGCTATGGGCCGAGTCCCTCCTTCTGGCTTGGCGAGAGCGATGAGGCGGGAGGATGTGAGCAAGGAGCACACCTCCTCGGGGAGTTTCCCTCGGAGGAATGTGCTAACGAGAGCGTGGAGGTGGGTGGTAACGGCTGCGTTGGCGATAGCTGCATCCCTGAGGTGTTAGAACGTCATCCCCGACGGCCCTCCCCCCACTCCGTTTTCGCAGCGGCACAGAATTTTCGCGAATGCAGCTGAGGTGATGGTCACCACGTGGGCCTCGTCCGTTGGTGTCCAGTCAATCTGTCCTGGTGGTGCGGGTGGGTGCTTGGATTTAAGTGACTCCAGTACCTCGGGCGTTGGATCTGCCACGGGTGTAGATTCGAGGGCCAGGATAGCCCGCCGGAGGCTGCCCTTTCGAACCAGTCCTTCTGCTCTGGCACGCTTTCCCAACTCGTCCGGCTGGTGACGTGGCGCTGGAGGCGAGTTGACCGCTGCCACGGCTGCCTCGTACAACCGTTCCCATTCGCCCTTGAAAAACTGACGAAGTCGCAACTTCACTGCGGGCCAATCGGGCTTCCCTGGTTTCGCCTGGCGAAGGATTAGGCGGGGAATAAAGAGTAACAGGCGCCAACCGGGTACGGAGTCAGGGTGGCGTGCGAGGTGCAGCAGGGGTGTCAGCAGCGCGTTAGCGAAACTGGTGCGGATTTCGTGCGGAATTTTGCGGGAGAGGGGGGGCTGACGGCTGTCGCGTAGTGGTGTCAGGTCCCAGGTGCGAACTTCATTGAAGCGGGTCATGTCCTTCGCCAGCTGCTCTGGCGAAAATTGGCGGGTTGTTGGTGTGGTTGTGAGGGGTGTGTCTGGGTTTGGTTCCCCCCCAATTCCAATTTGTGTAGATGCGGCTCGGGGGGTTGTTGCCACATTCACTCGACTCTCAACTCCTGGGGCAGCTTCACCTTCATCCCCTCCACTTCCTTCGGTCGTTGATACTGCGGCTGGCTCGGCAATAAAGGTGGGGTCTTGTGCCTCTTCTGCTTCATCCTCTGCCACGTTGTTGACATCCGCTTCTGTTAAAGCTAGCCTCGCCGCCCGTTGGAAGCCGTTCTCCCGGCCTCGACCCCGCCCCGCAGCTCGCTGCCGCCCGCCTCTGCCTCCTCGTAATGCCTGTGGCGGTTGGCGGCGGTTCCCCGGTGCCGTGTTCGCCGCGGCCGTTTGGCGTGGCGTCAGCTGCGCTTGCCTCGCCGGTGCGGTCGGCGCCGGTTGCCCCTGTTGCGGCAATGTCTGTCGCGGGTTCTCCTGCTCGCGCGTGCTCCATGGTAGTCGACTCTGGACGAGAGTCGGCGGGTGTGGCCGTCCGACAGCGAGTGGTGTCGCCAGCGCCTGTGCCTGCCTTCGTTCTGGCGCCTGAGGCTGGCGTGGCGCCTCTCCCTGCTCCTGGCGCGGCGCCCTCTCCCGCGCCTCATGTTCCGGTGTTGCCGTCGCCTGCTGAGACGGCGGCTGTTGCTGGGGTGGCACCTGCGTCTGGCGTGGCGCCTCCTCTTGCGCCTGTGGCGCCGCCCGTGGTGTCTCCTGCTGCATCCCTTGATGCACCTGGCGGGAGGTCTGCCCCTCCGCTCCCCGCGGCTTCCGCGTCTGGCCCCGCCCTTCCTCCTGTAGTGCAGCAGCGTAACTCCCGTCCCCATTCGCCCACCCCCCGAGATGAGCGAGATGTATCTCGTCGACGGCGTGATTCCCCTCGCCGCCGGCAGCCGCAGGCGAACTGGCATGCGCACCAGGGTGGTTGGAGGGGAGGTCGCGGTCGCGGGCGTGGCGGGTGGCTGGACGCGCCAGCAACGATCGCGGACGTGCGACAGATTGTGACAGAGGCGTTCCGCGACGGTCAGGCCGGCCCAGCAAGTCAGTACAGCTCGCGGCATGCGCCTCCAACGCCGTCTGCTCCCCTTCCGGTCGCTCGCCCTGTGGTTGCTCCGGCGCCGGCGGTGTCGCTGCCGGCTCCCTCAGCCCCTGCTCGCAGTGGTGGAGCTGGGCTTCCTCGGCATCAGCTACCCTCCCTGGCGGAGGAGCTCCTTCCCCCGCGGGCCGAAGTTCCGGAGGCGACTCTCGGCCAGTTGTGGAGGCTCTCGGAGAGCCTCCGTACGCTCCTGCTTGTGCAGTCCCTGGCGCACGGGTCTCTTCCGCCTGTTCCGGCGGAATCTCTGCTTGACGGCCCGCGGGATGACTGTCTTGACGCGGCCGACCAAATTGCCCTCCTCCTAGCGCCTGTGTTGGCCGCGCCCGTGCGGGGAGGCATTGGGGCTGTGGGGCAACTGGACGCGGCTGTGCGGGACTTACGGAGGTACCTGCGGGCTGTCAAACATTATATATGTTGTAGTTGTTTAGGCTAAAGTGGGTTAGCCTTTAGTGGGTACACAATTCTAGGGTTAGGTACTTGTACTCATTTCTCTGCTAGTTCATCCATTCCTGTTTCGCTACTTTCTAACATGGTTTCAGAGCAGGTCCTCCGCTAGGACCGAATTTTTTTTTAAGGGCCCACCACACTGACTGCCTACTAGCGCCCTCGTGCGCCCTACTGTCGGAGCGCCCTCGAGCGCCTCCCCCCAGCGCCCTCGTGCGCCCCTCCTTAGCGGCCCCTTACGGCCCTGTCGACCCCTTAGCGGCCCCTCACGGCCCCGTCGACCCCGCGCGCCGCCCCTTAGCGGCCCCTTACGGCCCCGTCGACCACGCGCGCCGCCCCTTAGCGGCCCCTTACGGCCCCGTCGACCCCGCGCGCCGCCCCTTAGAGGCCCCTTACGGCCCTGTCGACCCCGCGCGCCGCCCCTTACGGCCCCGTCGACCCCGAGCGCCGCCCCTTAGCGGCCCCCTTACGGCCCCGTCGTCCCCGCGCGCCGCCCCTTAGCGGCCCCGTCGGCCCCGCGTTTGCCCCTTAGAGGCCCCGTCGGCCCCGCCAGAACCGAGCCGCCCGAACCGAGCCGCCCGAACCGAGCCGCCCAGAACCGAGCCGAGCCCGACGGCCGAACCGAGCCGCGCCGCCCTCCCCGTACTGAGCAGCCCTCTCTGGACCGAGCCGCCCTACCTGAGTCGCGCTGCCTGCTGCTTTTAGGGTTTCTCCTGCTGCTACTACTGCTCTTACTACAACTATGGCTAGCCCTGCTGTTCTAGCTTTCGATGCTGAGGGTCGCCCACTGAAGTTTGAGACCTGGCTCGATGACTTGCACCTGTTCCTCCAGCTCACTGCCAAGGAGGATATCTCGCTGTACGATCACGCACTAGGCAATGCTGCTGCCCCTGCTACTACTGCTGACAGTACTGCCCGTTCACAGTGGCAGACTCGTGACGCCCACGCTCGCTTTGCTATTCGCAACTCCCTGCCGGTAGATGAGCGCGAGCACTTTGGCCAGCACAAGACTGCACAGGCACTTACACTGCTGTAGTTGCATGCTACTCCTCACCTGCCTCTGCTGCGCTAGGCCGTCTCTCGCTCCCCTACCTGTTCCCAGACCTGTCCGCTTTCGCCACAGTCGCTGACCTCACCACGCACCTCCGCACTAGTGAGGCTCGCTTCCGTGCCGCTATGCCCGCTGAGTTTCTTGCCACCCACCCCCCCCCGCTCTGGCTCACTCTCTACCACCTTGTCACCCGTCTCCCTGACTCTCTTCGTGCGGTCAGGGACCACTTCGTCGCTCGCTGCCCCACTGAGCTCACCGTTGACCTGCTCGAGAAGGAACTGCTTGCAGCCGAGACTAGCATAGTCGCTGTAGCTGCCTCTCGTGGCGACCCCCGCACCCCGTTCTTCGAGGGGTGTTCCCCTTCCCCCCTGCTCCCCTCTGTCGCCTCTACTGCTGCTGTCGACCTAGTTGGTACTGAGCAGGTCGGGACTGCGTCCGCTCCGAGCTGGCGCCGCAGCGGCAAGGGCAAAGGGGGCAAGGGAGGTGGAGGTGACGGCGGGGGAGGCGGTGGTGGGGGCGGAGGAGGCGGTGGGGGTGGTGGCGGGGCAGGAGGGGCTAGTGGCAGCGGTGGGGGTGGTGGCGGCAGCAGCGGAGGAGGTGGCCGGGGTGGGGGCGGTGGTTGGGGCGGCGGTGGACGAGGCGGCGGCAGGGGCGGTGGTGGTCGAGGTGGTGGCGGCGGAGGTGGTGGTCGTGGTGGTGCTGGCGGACAGCAGACTCTCTCTCCCCAGGAGCTTCGTGAGTGGTACTCTCAGCACGGGGGGGGGGGGTGGCCTTAGCTGCACGTACGTCATCCGCACTGGTGAGCGCACTGGCCACACGTGTGGGAGGGCGCACACCACGCAGCGCTGCTTCTCCCGCCTCGACGACGCTTGGCGCACTCATTTCCCTACTGCCACTAAGCTGCCCCGCTGGTGGGATCTGATGAAGAAGAACATTGATGTCTTTGCTCTTGACTTTGATGCTATTCTCACTGCCATGTATGTGTTGTCTACTAGTGGAGAGGGTGATCAGTACCTGCGTGTTCCGCCCGACCCGGGCATTCGCACCAGTGAGGCTGCCGCTCTAGGTGCTTGCGTGTCTGCTGCCCCAGGTGCTGGTGAGGCTGCTGCGCTAGGTGCTTACGTGGCTGCTGCTCCAGGTGCTAGTGAGTCTGCGCCCCCTGGTACTGAGTCCACTGAGGCACTGCACACCTTCACTCTAGACTCAGGCGCTTCTCGCTGTTTCTTTCGTGACCGCACTGCCCTTGAGCAGCTTGCTCGGCCAGTTGCTGTCTCCCTTGCTGACCCCTCTGGGGGTCCGGTCATTGCGACCTCCTCCACTGTCCTTCCTTGTCCTGCGGTTCCGTCGGGCACTCTGTCAGGTCTCCACCTCCCCTCGTTCTCTACGAACTTGGTGGCAGGCTGTGCCCTCCAGGACGGGGGTGTCCACCAGTTCACCCCTGCCTACGAGCGTGTGACACACTGCACGTGTGCTCGGACGCGCCGTCACCTGGCTACCTTCACTAGGCAGCCGGGGTCGGACCTGTACACACTGACCACTGAGTCCCCTCAGGTAGCTGCGTCTGCGTCTGTGTTAGGTCAGCTGTCTGCCCCCTGTTCGTGTCGCTCTCTGGCGCACGAGACTGTCCTCTGGCACCACCGCCTTGGTCACCCGTCAGTGCAGCGCCTTCGTGCCATGCACAAACGGTACCTTGTCTCTGGTCTTCCCCGGGTACTCCCTCCCCTCCCTCCCTCGCCTGCTCCTCCCTGTCTTCCTTGTGTCGAGGGGCGGCAGCGCGCCGCTCCTCACTCCTCCTCGTTTCCCCCGACGACTGCTCCCTTGCAGACGCTCCACATGGACGTGTGGGGCCCAGCCCGCGTCCGTGGACAGGGTCAGGAGCGGTACTTCCTGATCGTTGTTGACGACTTCTCGCGCTACACCACGGTCTTCCCCTTGCGCACCAAGGGTGAGGTCCCTGCTGTTTTGATCCCTTGGATCCGCGCTTCTCGTCTCCAGCTCAGCGAGCGGTTCCACTCGGACTTTCCTGTCTTGCGTCTGCACTCTGACAGAGGTGGTGAGTTCTCCTCCGACCTCTTGGCAGCCTACTGTGCGGAGCACGGCATTGAGCAGTCGTTCACGCTTCCGGCCTCTCCACAGCAGAATGGGGTTGCTGAGCGCCGCATTGGTTTGGTCATGGAGGTCGCTCGTACCTCCTTGATCCATGCGGCTGCCCCCCACTTTCTGTGGCCGTTTGCAGTCCGCTACGCTGCGCATCAGCTCAACCTCTGGCCCCGTGTCTCCTTGCCGGAGACCTCGCCCACACTGCTGTGGACGGGGGAGGTTGGCGATGCGTCGCGTTTTCGGGTCTGGGGATCTCGAGCTTTTGTCCGCGATACGTCTGCGGACAAGCTCTCCTCCCGCGCTGTTCCTTGTGTCTTCCTTGGCTTTGTCCCGGACGCGTCTGCTTGGCAATTTTACCACGCCACCTCGCACCGTGTCCTGCCCTCTCAGGACGTCACTTTTGACGAGTCGGTGCCCTACTACCGCCTCTTCCCCTACCGCACTGCCCCGCTCCCTCCCCCGCCTCTCTTCCTCGCGCCAGGTGCTGCTGTGGTAGACCCCCTCCCCCCTCAGGGTGCCGCTCCCTCAGGTGTGTCCCAGGTAGACCCGGTTGACCCTGTCGAGGTAGCTGTCGACTCTCGTCCTGCTAGGGGTGCTGAGCCTGGGGGTGCGGAGCTTGGGGGTGCGGAGCTTGGGGGTGCGGAGTCTGGGGGTGCTGAGTCTGGGGGTGCTGAGACTGGGGGTGCAGAGTCTAGGGGTGCTGAGCCTGGGAGTGCTACACCTGGAGGAGCTCTCTCCTCCGAGCAGCTGCGTGAGTGGTACTTACAGTACTGCAGCCTCAGGAGAGGTGCTTCTAGAGCTCGGAGCGCTGCTGGAGCTGGTGCGAGTGCTTCCCCTCCTAGGCGGGCGCTGCCCTCTCCCCAGCAGCTCCGCGAGTGGTACGCTCGGCACTGCAGTCTCCAGAGTGGCGCTCCTCGCGTCGCGGATCCTGGTGCTGCTGGAGCTGCTGGAGGTGCTACTGGTGCTGGTGCTGCTGGAGCTGCTGGAGGTGCTGCTGGTACTGGTGCTGCTGGTGCTGGTGCTGCTGGAGCTGCTGGTGGTGCTGCTGGTGCTGGTGCTGCTGGAGCTGCTGGAGGTGCTGCTGGAGCTGCTGGAGGTGCTGCTGGTGCTACTGGAGGTGCTGCTAGTGCTGGTGCTGCTGGAGCTGCTGGAGGTGCTACTGGAGCTGCTGGAGGTGCTGCTGGTACTGGTGCTGCTGGTGCTGGTGCTGCTGGAGCTGTTGGAGGTGCTGCTGGTACTGGTGCTGCTGGTGCTGGTGCTGCTGGAGCTGCTAGAGGTGCTGCTGGTACTGGTGCTGCTGGTGCTAGTACTCCTGGAGCTGCTGGAGGTGCTACTGGTGCTGGAGCTGCTGGAGCTGCTGGCCCTGGAGGTGCTCGTCCTGGAGGTACTGGAGCTGCTGGGACTGGAGCTGCTGAGGGGGTTGGAGCTGGAGGTGCTGAGCGGCCGAGGCCGTACTACGTTCCACTCCTTCAGCAGGTTCTTGGTCTCCCGCCCTCTACTGGTCCTTCTCCTCCCCTACTGAGTCCACCACCTGTCCCGTCGCAGTCACAGTTACAGCCTGCCTCTCCACTGCCTGGTCCTTCTCCTTACACTGCGCCGACAAGTAGCTTTACGGAGCGTCGTGAGCCTGAGTCTCGTCCTCCGTCGCCTGAGTCTAGTCCTGCGTCTTCTGAGTCTCGTCCAGAGTCGCCTGTCCGCACTGCACGCACTGGTCGTCGTGCTCCGCGTGAGCGTCCTCCTCCTGTCCTAGGCACTCACTACATGACCCTGCGTCCGTCCACTGCTCCACAGCGCGTCCCTCTGCCGTCTCCTCCTGCGTCCTCTCTTCCTGACGTTGCCGACCCGCCGTCAGACCTTACTCGTGCTGCCAGTCCTCTTGTCGCGCGTCTCCTTGCCACTGTTGTCACTGACCCTACCTTTGAGTCCTCTGCTGCGTCTGCTCTAGTCGCTGAGCTTGTTGA